TAGTCAAGTGTGCTGCTGAAGCTCTCTATTAAATTCTTCAGTTCAATCATTGTATTTTAGTTCTAGGATTTCTGTTTGGGGTTTTTACGGTTTCCATTTCTTCATTGAACTTCTCATTTTGTTTATGCATTGTTTTCCTAATTTTGTTTAACTTTCTGTGTGTTCTTATAGTTCACTGAATTTCTTCAGAGGGTTATTCTGAATTCTTTATCAGACAGTTCATAGATCTCCATTTTTTTAGGGTCAGTTATTAAACCTTTATTAGTTTCCTTTAGTCATGTTTCCCTGATTCTTCATGATCCTTGATTCCCTGCATTTGTATCTATGCATTTGAATAGCAGTGTCTTCTTCTATACTTTACAGGTTCATTTCAGCAGAGAAAGATCTTCACTAGTCAGCTCAGCTGGACTGGATGGGTCAGCTGGCACAGTCTGTGAGCAACTGGGCTTGCTATCAGGGTCTAGTTGAGCGAGGCCACTGCTTATGCTCTGAGGTTGTAAGGGGGGAGGGTGCCACTGGCTGAGCTCCAGGGTAGGCCTCCTGGCTGAGCCACATGTCAAGCAAAGTTGTTGGGTGGGCTCTCTCATGGGGTGAGGCTGTTGGCTGTGCTTCACAGTCAGATGTGGCCACTAGTTGGGCTTTGCAATCATCTCTGGTCAGGCAAGGTCACAGGCTATGTTCCATGGTGGGTGATGCCACTGGTTGAACTCCACGGTTGGGAAAGGCTATGGGCTGAGCTCTGCAATTGCTCCTGTTAGATTGGATCTCAGACTGTGCTCTCCAACTGGATGATGCTGCTGACTGGATTCTGTGCTCGGGTGGGACTGCAGGCAGAGCTTCAGGGTTGGACAGGCCTCAGGCTAGTTCCTATGAAGAGGCAAGGCCACAGACCCTGAAGCTGGGCAACCATACATAAGCATACAGGCTATGCTTCATGATTAGGTAGGCTGCTGGCTATGCTCTCTGGTCAGGAGGGGTCCAGCTGTATCCTGTACTTTGGTGGGGCTAGATAGTGTACACTGAGGTCTAGCAGGGTAACTGGCTGGGTTCCCTATTAGGTAAGGCCATGGACTGGGTTCAGCAATTGGGTTGGGCTGTAGGCTGGGCTCCACAGCTGGGCAGTAATATAGGCTTGACTGCAAGCCTTCCTAAGGTCACTGTTCACACTCCCTGGTTATGTGGGGTGGGGCCAGAGCTATACTTAATAGTTGGGCAAAACTGCTGACCTGGCTCCCTGCCTGTGCATGGCTGTAGGATGGACTCTGTGGTTGCCTGGATTTCCTGATCAGGTGGGATTGGAAGCTATATTCAAGAGTTGGGTGCAGATGGAAATTTGCTTCCCTGCCTCGGGTGAGGAGGCATAGAACAGGCTCAACAGCTGGTAAAGCCTGTTAGGTAGGGACCCAAATCAAGCAGAACTGCCAACCAAGTTCCCTGTCCAGACAGGGCCACTGGCTAGGACCTCTGCTCAGGCACCACTGCAAGCAGGAATGTGATTTGCCAAGTTCTGAGCTTCAGTTGCTGTAAGCCCTAACCTCTTCTCCATCTCTATCTTATCCCCCGTAGTTGAGCCCCACAGATTCTCCCAGCCATCTCTGTGAAGGAAGACCCAAGTGGGTTTCCTGGGAAGCATCCCACAGTGCTCAGAGGCTGGATGTCCACCTAGGGCTCTATATTTTTCCCCACTTGTGAAACCATAGGCCCTGGGGGGACTTCAGTGCATCCAGGCATGGAGGGGCAATAGAATCAGAGTGCAGTCACTCCTCCTACTCTCCTAATGAGGTTCTTCTCAATCTCTGCAGACATGGAGGTGCTTCAGCCTCACCCCTGGGTTCTGCGATTTTCACAATGTCTTGTCTATAGATAGTTGCTAGTTGGTCTTCTTATATAGGGGGACTGAAGTGAAGAATGGCCTATGTCACCATATTGATTATGTCACTTTTTCCATTGTGTTTAACTTAAATAAATGTTATGGAGCTTTAGATCTTATTCTGTTTCTTTTTTATTCAACAGTTTTTCTTACCTATGTGTGATACAATATGTATAGTTAGGAAAACAGAAACGAAACTAGGCATTTCAGCAAAGGGAATTCAGAAAAGTGATGACAGAGATGTACTGAAATGCACAGGGATGAAATATAGAAAAGTGATGACAGAGATGTACCAAAACAAGAATAGAAAAAAACAAAACAGGGGCGCCTGGGTGGCTCAGTTGGTTAAGCGACTGCCTTCGGCTCAGGTCATGATCCCAGGGTCCTGGGATCGAGTCCCACATCGGGCTCCCAGCTCAGCAGGAAGCCTGCTTCTCCCTCTCCCACTCCCCCTGCTTGTGTTCCTGCTCTCGCTGTCTCTGTCTCTGTCAAATAAATAAATAAATAAATAAATAAATAAATAAATAAATAAGAAAAAAAAACAAAACAAATAATAATGACAATAAGTTGGGGAAGCAGAGGATAAATTAGGGGTTACCAAGTCCTGAAAGCTCATGAATCCTAACTCTGACCTGTGAGGGAGGGTCTCAAACACACAGCAAAATCCAGGACTAGAATAGCTGCTGGAAGCATGAGAACTGAATAAAGATTCTAGACACTGAACAGTGCTGGGGACACACTGGAGTTCAGGCCTAGGGACAGTGAAGGGACTTTGGTGAACATTCTGGCCATTCAGCTAAGGCCCCTTTATAAAGGGGCAAAGAGTCAGGGGCAAAGTTAAAATAGACCCACCTTAATAAAGGCTAAAACCAAGTCTCATACATGCTGGTAATTTAACTGCCTGCCAGAAAAAAAACTCAATACTCTTTCAATACCAACAACATAATCCAAAGGATGATTCCAAAATTCCTTACTTGAAAAAGTGACAGAGGTAAAATGTGGACCTAAAGGAAATTTAATGGAATGACCAACATCAGAACCTACCCATGAGTGTGAACTAAAATTGTACCATTATACTATGGGCCAAGTGTTTTTTAGGAATCAAAGATTTCCTAGGCACAAAAACATATCAAAGAGATTTTAAATAGACAGTTTCCCACCACATTATAGTATTAATAAATAAACCAAACTATAAAATAAAATAAAAACAAAAAAGGCTTTCCCTATTCTCAAGACTCAACAAGACCCAACTAGCTTAATCCAATGGTAAATATTCAACCCAATTCAACAGATTTACTTGGTACCTACCTAGGTGTTTCCAGAATTATTTAGCCCACTGGCACTGGCTTCAAGGAGGGAACAACCAAACAATTATGCTTTTCATGAGCATTTAAGTGCCTGTTAGGTACTAAGCACTAAAGGTGTGCATTAGGAACCCAAAATCAATCAAAAAACACTATTCCTGCTTTTTAGGAACTCCTATATTATGGAGAGAGGTAGACATACAAACTCCTATATTATAGAGAGAGGTAGACATACAAACCAATAGGTACTGCAATATAAGTGTTGTAATACAGAGGCAAGCACTAAAGGGGAAGACATGAGGGTGCATTTAACTTTCCACAGAGAAGAAAAGAATATCAGGATAGCAGAAAAGAGCATAGCTTTGATGTCCAGACAAACATGGATCATTTTTCATATATGTCAAATAAGAATAATAGCTACTTCACAGGGCTGCTGTGGGATTTAAAATTATGTACACCTACACACACACACACATAATTCTATCATAGCACCTGGCACATAGTATGTGTTAAATAAATTATCTTTGCTAAGGTGTGCAAATTATCAATTTATTGGTTCTCCATTCCAAATTCACTCTTCTTTGCCCTGCATTTTGTGATAGTGGACTTGGATCCCGCAAAAGCTTCTCCTTTGTCAGGTGGCAGAATTTTAAACTTCATCAATAGAGGGTACTGGAATGACCCTGCAAGGCAAACAGTATAAGACACTTCTGTTTCAGGTACTGATCCTCTATTATTATTATTCACCACCAGAGCCCAGCAGCTACAAAGAAGAGTTCCAGCTGTGCCATTATACCACTCTCTCTCCACCAGCAGCTGTATCCAGCCTGTACCCTCCCGCAATGGCAGGCCACTTCTAAAGGCCAGTTCTGGCCAACTCATATCTTTCAAGCAAGATTTGCATTTTACATGTCAGATTTGCATTTTACAAAAGTCTCCCAGGTGGCAGTGTAGAGAATGATAGGATGAAGCTAAAACTTGGAGGGAGGCAAAGTAGTAGAACACTGTAACTGATGTTTCTAAAACTCACTAACATTTCCAGTTCCCTCTTTTTCTAGGTACATAGGAACATGACATATCCCAGGCCACGTCCTGTTATTTCCTGTGGCCACTGAAATGTTTAGAAACTGATGCAAATCACTTCTGAGTAGAAACATTTAAGAGCTGGTACTTAATTATCTGCACTCCCTTCTGCTGGTCCAAATCTTGAGGCCCCCATATTGAGATGGCAGAATTGTCAGACAGTAGGTTTTCCATCAACCTAGACCCCTGAATGACAAGGTGCAGAGGCCCCCTGCAGTACTGGAGCATAAGGAGAAACTAGCTACTGAGATTTTAGGCCACTTCGATTCAGGGGTTATATGTTACTGTGGCATGAACTAGCCTAAAGTCCACTCCTTTGGCTCTTCGGTATCCACAGACACCTCTCTACCCATATTTAAACATCAATGCAATAATAATATGGCATGCTTCCACCTAAAATGATGAAATTATTTTTCATACAAATGAATATACTATCACTCTCTCCCCAGAAGGTCCTAACAGTCACCATGTCTACTTCTGAATGATGTTAATTTCCTCTCCTAGTTTAGTTACAATGCCATCAAAATATTCTGCATCTTAAATACTACACTGTAAAATCAACCACCAACAAACATCCTTTAATTAACATTAAAATATTAAAACATTCTAATATTTAAAAAAATAAGAAAGACAAAAAATTACACAATATGTACAAACATTACATAACAAGTGTTTGGTTATCTATTACTGCATGATAAACCCTCCCAGGACTTGGTGGTTTTAAAGAACAACTGTTTTATTACCTTGTGATTCTGTAGGTTGACTGAGATCATGTGGGCAGTTCTTCTGCTGGTGTCACCTGGGGCCTCTCATGTGGTTGAGTCAGATGACAGGTGGGACTGGAGTCATCTCTTCAGATAACAGGGACATTATGACAACAGGGTCTCTCTCCCTCTTCATGTAATCTTTCCACAGGGTCTCTCCAGTAAGGTAGTCAGACTTATTTCATGGTGGTTCAGAGCTCCCAAAAGCAAATGTTCCAAGAAGGAGAAAGTAGAAGCTGCCAATCCTCTTAAAGACTAGGTCTAGAATTGGTACAGCACCACTTCTACTGCATGCAAGTGGTTAACATGAGTCACAGACCAGCCCATTCAAATGTAGGTGGGAAGTACACATGAGCATTAATAGCAGGAACTGTGGTTCACTGGGGGCCATCTTTGGAGCCTAGTCCACCTAGACTAGGAAGAAAATATACAGCATGACTACAGTCCTCACTTCCATAATTCTTGAGGCTAGAAGTGCAAGAGTGTTTGCCTCTCGATGCTGCACCTACACATTGGACTATAACTGGTCCCTGGGTCCATATCCCAAGATTGCAGGCACTGGGACAATCCCTGACACATTCTAGGCAATTAGGGATTATTTACTAAATGAGCACATTTTATAAATATCTGCATCTATATCATTTCAATGACTACATAGTTCCTTAGCTACTTAAGGCAAAAAAACTCAATTTACTATTAATTAAAGTGTCATTAAACTCATTTGTAATCAGTTCAATTTTAAAGCCAGCAGAATATGTATTTTTAATTGTCATCCTAATAAGTAGGATATATACATTGGAATCAATGAGGTTTTAAGCTTTGCAATATTTTTAAATGTATATTTTAAAGTCACTGAAAGAGACTTCCCAACCCATCTTCTAGGCAAGGAATAAGACTCAAACTTTTTCCCTTTAAAAAATACTCACGAAGGTGCCTGGGTGGCTCTGCCAGTTAAGCATCTGCCTTCAGCCAGGTCATAATCCCAGGGTCCTGGGATCAAGTCCTGCATCTGGTTCCTTGCTCAGCAGGGAGTCTGTTTCTCCCTCTGCCTGCTGCTCTCCCTGCTCATTCACTTTCTCTCTCATTCTCTTTCCCTCTCTCTCTCACAAATAAATCTTAAAAAAAAAAAAAATCCTGCATTCATAATGACATGTATGGATCTTGAGGGCATTATGCTAAGTAAAATAAGAGAAAGATAAATACTGTATGATCTCACTTATATGTGGAATCCAAAAAAAAAAACCAAACTCATAGAAAAAAAGATCACATCTGTAGTCACCAAAGGCAGGGGGTAAGAGATGAGGGAATCAAGTGAAGGTGGTCAAAAAGTACAAATTTCCAAATACAAAAAGTACTGGGAGATAATGCACAACAGGATGACTACAGTTAATGCTATATGGTATATTTGAAGTTACTAAGAGAGCAAATCCTAAAAGATTTCATCACAAGGGGAAAAAAGTCTTTTTTGTAACTAAACATGGTGACAGATGCTAACAACTAAAATTATTGTGATAATTATTTCATAACATACACATATATGAAGTCATTATGCTGTACACTTTAAACTTACACAATGTTATATGTCAATTATATCAAAACTGGGAGGTGGGAATTTTTTTAAATACTCCTATCTACCAAGAAGTACCAGATATCTCAAAACCTTATTTGGTTCATTATCAAATACCACTTATTTAAAAGTCTCTATAGGGCGCCTGGGTGGCTCAGTTGGTTAAGCGACTGCCTTGGGCTCAGGTCATGATCCTGGAGTCCCGGGATCGAGTCCCACATCGGGCTCCCTGCTCAGCAGGGAGTCTGCTTCTCCCTCTGACCCTCCTCCCTCTCATGCTCTCTGTCTCTCATTCTCTCTCTCGCAAATAAATAAAATCTTTAAAAAAATAAATAAATAAAAAATAAAAGTCTCGATAACAGATTTAAAACAAAGGTTACAGAGTATAACTAATAATTTACATTATTATAGTCTTCCTATATATTATTTCCTTGAAGGTTAAAGGTCTAAATTTAGGGGTTTGGAATTTTTGTCAACCCAGCCACAATATTCTATGCATACATTTTTTCAATCCCAAATTTCATTTTCCCTGCTGGAAGGATTAGTGGTGACTCAAAGAATATATTAAGGTAAATGAGGTGATGAAGGAGAGATCAACCTGTCAGAAGTAGGAAAGTGATCCGAGGCTACTGACTCCACTGGTGGTGGTGAGAGACCTAAGAAGTCAGTTATTTTGAGCACCTCCCCGTAAGTTGCTACTTTGTGTTGTTGGGGTCACATATATCACCTGATGGCTGAGGCGGTGTGAGTTAAGTTAAAAAAGCCTAGAATAAGGAGCATGGTCAAGTAGACCCAGTCTTGACATCTTCAGGAAACTTTCAGATAGGGAAGGATTTCCAAAGTGAACCCTTGTTTTATAAAGATCTGACAATGAATTTTTTTTCAAGATTTTATTTATTTATTTAACAGAGACACAGCGAGAGAGGGAACACAAGCAGGGGGAGTGGGAGAGGGAGAAGCAGGCTTCCCACCAAGCAGGGAGCCCGATGCGGGACTCTGGGATCATGACCTGAGCCAAAGGTAGACGGTTAACGACTGAGCCACCCAGGCACCCCCTGACAATGAATTTTTTTCTTGCCTATAAGTTTTATTTGGAAATAGCAAATTTAAAAATAAGTAATTATATTTTCCTACCCTTTACTCCCACTTGACAGAAAATAAAATTTCAAACCCAGTAGAACCTGTAGACTATCACCATATATCCTGGTCAATCAACCCACTGTTGCCCTAACTTCCCTGGTACCACAACCATTCACATACATAGAAACATGGGGCTAGTGATGCAGCTTCAGCAGATATGCCTGATTCAATCTATTATGCTCAATTATTACCTCCCAGGAAGAATCAAGCCATAAGGAAATGGGACAAAGGTCAAGCACAATTGAAAGGTGGAATATGTAAATTAATGGAAGGCTGGGCACAGGAAATAGGCTGAGCTGACAGGAAATTTAATGGGAAGGAATTTAAAGGGAAATCCTGAAAACCCTAGAGCAGCAAAAGGACAAAATAAAATTTAAAAAAAGGTTAGGATGGACTTCCATGAGAAGTTTTTTGGGGTGGGGGAAAGATGTTTAAAGGAGTAAAAGGTACAGGCAAACTACCTAATTCACAACTCTTATCTCCAGCAGTATTTACTCTTGCAAGTGGAGTTGTGGAAGAGGTGCCGGGACTAAAAAGTTGACCAAAAATACAAAATGACTACCTTGCCTACTCCAGTGTACCTTTCTTTCCCTCACATCAGCTAACATTAACCTAGAAGGCACAGCATAAAATGAATACCCACTGGTCGGCTGATTAAAAAGTTGTAAAAAAAAAAAAAAGGCAGAGAACGAGGACACTGTCACACCTCCCTTCTTAGAGGTGGTGATCACTCTTACTTACCCCCACATCCTTCTGTGTTCCTGCAGGCTTGGTTCTAGCCTCTCCCGAAACCTAAGCTTCCCAGGCCCCCATCCCTCTGGGGAGCCCAGTTCTCAGTCATCAGAGAAACTCGTGGCTCTTTAAGTGCAGAAACGTGGTTCACATTTGTTTCTGGGGGGGAAAGGCAAGGGCAGGGGTGCGGGTAACTGAGGTCATCAAGGTGGGGCTAGATCCTTGGGAACTGCATAGGGCATCCATCCGCAGGCCAACCTGCCCGTTCACCACTTCCGCACCCACCCAGCGGAGGAAGAGCTAAGGTTCTCACAGGGCGCAATCCCGCGAGCTGCGCGTGCAGAGTCCTGAGAAGCCACCCTGGATGTGGCGGCACTCTTCTCCATTCCCGCAAGGGGAGGTGGAGGCGGAACATGGGTTGGTCGCTCCCGCCTCACCAGGGTGTCCTCTGGCCCTCAATCCTGGCCCTGTGCTCATCCTCTGCCCGGTCCACACGAGCGAACGCCTCGGCCAGGGGAAAGCCTGGAACAGGCAGCCCACAAAGAAGAACATGAAGCCGCCACGAGAGGTCGCCTGGGGTCAGAGCGGGGCGAGGCGTGGGGGCGGGGCCGGGGGCCTGGGTCGCCAGAAGAGTTCCTTTCACCTCTACACTGGATGTCTAGCCCTCCCTCCACGCTTCACGTCCCACTTCGCATTCCTACGGGTCGCGGAGCGAGCCTGCGAAACCTCTAAGAGCCGCCCGCTGCCCCGCAAGAATGCATTACCTAGTGCCACGGTCACGGTTGCCGTCACAGGCACCCTCAACCCCACCCCCGGCCTGTCCGCGGTCCCTCTCTCTCTCCCACCCGCACCTGCCCCCAGCCCGCAAGCTCCCCGGGCCCGCAGGTGCGGATGACAGCGGGATTCCACGCCCCGCAGAGGCCCACCAGCTCTGGGGAAGGGGAGACGCGGTCCAGAGCCGCTCCCAGGCGGATGTCTCAGGTGCGTCCGAACCCCCGAGTCACACTGCTTGGCAGGACGCTGATGGCCAGGGAGCCACGCGGTCCCAGCCAAGGTGCCTCCTTGGCTTCCCCCTCCAAGTCTGAGGGAGAGGGTGGGATTCTCACCCCTTTGGCGTCCTGCTCGTGCTGCGCCCCTGCTTCTCCACTCTGCAAAGGGTTTCTCTCATTCCGGATCCCTGAAACCTTTAGAAGCACAGCTGCTGATTCTTTTGGATGATTCTGCCTACTTTTTGGAAATATTATGGGGTGGGGAGGGAGTGGGGGATCAGCTGAGCTTTCTTAAATAGTTATGGTAAATTTTGAGGCGAAAATATAATTTCAGTTGATGTCAGTAGTGGCCTTTTATGGATATGGACCTACATGTCATGTCATCCACATAGTGTTTAGATTGTACTAAGGAACATCTTCCACTTGTGGATTTGTTTCCATTGAAATTCATTTCCATAGAATTTAAGTTGGTATTTATTACTGATGTGATCATCTGAGGGTCCACAGACCGCCTGTTGGTGAAGTGATTTCTATGCAGTGGTGACTTGAACAATTCAGGAGTATAAAGTATGTTCCCTGCCTTCCCTGAGGGAGGGTCATTGTGATAGTGACCAAATCAAGCTGACTGCTGAACGGAGTGTGCCCTCCTCTTCTCTTCCAGTCTGTGCCATCTTAGTCAAGAAACATGGAGGTAATTCATGGCAGGCCCTATTGTTGCAGAGAGCTTGAAGGAGCTGACACACTGTCCAATACCTTCTACTCTAATGAACTGCACACTCCGCTACTAACAACTATTCGTCCAACTGCCTCAGAGGACAGGTAAAACAAAAACTAGAGAATGTAAATAATTAAAAAGGGCTTTAATACATTAGTTTTATTTTTATATGTGATATATGTGAGAAAAAAACATTCAGTTAGGGGGCTCTTCTGTTTTCACATCATAGGGATGGCATAACATGACAATTAACTGTAAAGTCTCCACATCCGTTAGGAACTTGATCAAAAGTAAGTTGGTGTGGGGGCGCCTGGGTGGCTCAGTTGTTAAGCGTCTGCCTTCGGCTCAGGTCATGATCCCGGGGTCCTGGGATCGAGTCCCACATCGGGCTCCCTGCTCGGCAGGAAACCTGCTTCTCGCTCTCCCACTCCCCCTGCTTGTGTTCCTGCTCTCACTATGTCTCTCTCTGTCAAATAAATAAATAAAATCTTAAAAAAAAAAAAAAAGTAAGTTGGTGTGTCTTTTTACAAGGCAGACCTCAATTTCATCCACTACATTCTGGAACTCCAGAATGATCACTTCCTTCATTTGAAAATTAATCTGTTTAATCAAACTTTTTATTTTATAAGGAGTAGTGTAGTGGTTCCCTAACATCCCCTAACACCATCTGTTCAAAACACTCCCAGAATCTGTTGTTCATGATTGCTATCTAAATTTTTGCTTTACTGAATTTCCTGTAACACATTAATACAAATTATTATTAAAACTGTACCTAACGTATACCGAGTAATTACTGTGAGTGGGCACTGAACCAAATGCTTTGAATGTAGCAGTTCTTTTACTCCTCACAACAACCCTGTAAGTACTATTATTATCCCCATTTTACATATGAAGTAATGGGTACAAATAAGTAATTTTCCAAGATCTTAGTGCCAGCTTTCTGTTTTTACTTGAATCATTTTGAGGCAAAAGAAAATCTCAAAACACTTGGACAGTGAAAAAATAGCCTGTGTGGTTGTTTTGTTTTGTTTATAACTTCAATTGGTCAAATCTCTCATTTAAGAATTCCTTCTTTAAGAAATCACACAGAAAGCCACTCAGCCTCAGTTTACACTTCCAAAATGGAATGTCACTACCACAAAGACAATCCATCCCAATTTTGAATGCTACTGATTGTTAGGTAATTCTTTCTACTGAGAACATTTTTTCCTCCTCCTAATTTCTACCTGCTGATCCTAGTTCTTCTCTCCAAAACTTTGCAAAATAAGAATAATCTATCATCTCCATGACAGCAGCCCTTCAAAAGTTTGAAGATCCTTTGGCTCTGTAAGAATTCTCTTTGCCAGACTAAACACTGGTTCTCTATAGACTTTACTTTTTCTTCCATCGAGGCTTTCACCATCTTGATCAGACGTCCATGGATCTAGTCTAGTTTGTAAACATGCTTTTTATATGAAAAAAGAAGGCGACTTTTTTTTCCTAATGATAAAACTAACACACGTTCCATATAAATAATTTAGAAATCATGGACATCCATAAAGAAAGCAAATTTTCCATTTTTCTAACAAAGGAAAAGCTATGAAATTAAAGCACAAGGGAGAAAACCTCTGTACTTCCTTTATCCAGAATAACCACCACCGTTAACATCTCAATATGTGTCTTCTCCATTTTTTAAAATTTAAAGATCATATTTAACATATTTTTTGTAAACTGGTATTTTCACTTAATGAAAAGGAATTTTTTCATATTTGTGAGAAAGAAGACTCAACTTATTCTATTGAGTCAGTCCTTGCTGCATGTGCTCTTTTGTTACCTGATTCCCAAAAGTGGCTGTGAGCCCTGAAGTCCTACTACTCAGCTCCAAGGGGATCAGATTATGGAGGGCTTCCCTTGAGTCAAAGGGAACCCTTAGCAGACTGTGCATGATTTGGGGATAGGCAACTGTCCCTGGCTCAAAAGCAAGGTAAAATTTTATATTTAGCCAAAAAGAATCTGAGTAGGGATTTAAGGCTATCCTATCTGAATAAATTCACTATCCCCTCAAAAGCACTTTCGTAAGGCTTCTCGCTGAAATGTTTACCTCTTCTACCTACCAACCTATGGTTGGTTAGTAATTGGTTCCAAAACCTTTTAACTGGCATGAAATTTAAGAGAAGCATCTTAAAGAAAATGCTGCTTTTTATTAACTGATTCTAAAATTAAATACAACATATGTTCAGTTACCTATAAACTACAGTAAGGTACTACTTGAAGCAAAAGGTAGGTACAACCATGTTCCTGATTCCTAATAACTAAAACTTTCTTTCCCTTTAATCCATGTGAATTTTTTCCTATCATCGTCCCCAAATTGGAAAGCCAGGATGATCATGCATTCTCACAACCCCTCCTTTTAACTTCCTCTTAAAAAGCAGCTGGGCAGCTTACAGAAACAGAAGTTCTCTTTTTCTTCTGAACTGCTGTCAATGCTGAGGCTTACTTCTTCAGAGCAAGGTCAGGGTCTGTGGCTCCCAACTCAAGCCTCAAGGTATCTCAAGAGCAAAACAAGACAAAAAGCTCCTAGCCTTTAGGGATTACCCTTCATAATGGTAAGGGTATGAATCCTAGCATATGTTAGCTCTCAACAGTTTACTTTTCTAAACTTGGATGTACTTAAGGGGATACCTTTTTTAAATATCATGTGTTCTGAACTCAGCCATTTTAACAACAATGCAAAATAACTTCCTCACATCAGCATACTTTTTTCTTTTCAGAATAGGCAGTCTAGCTCCCCGCACTGGTATGCAGACAGGACACATCAGAACCACATGAGCAGCTTTCTAAAAATAGAGATTCCCAGGCTCAATCTGGAGATATTCTGGCTCACAAGGTCTGAGGTGGGTCTAGGAAATCTTCATTTTTAGAAGGTTTTCAGCTTACTTTGAGAACCACTAGGCTAGCAGAAAGCACTGAAAACAGTAAGAAAACCAGGATTATGGTTGTGGCTTACCCACTGGCCAAAGGGGAGTCAGTTACTTTCTTCACTGGTGTATTTTAGAGCAATTATAGTAGTCACTATTATATATACTCTGACTTGATCTCCTTTAAAAATATCAGTAACCATGGACTCTGAGAAACAAACTGAGGGTTCTAGAGGGGAGGAGGTGGGGGGATGGGTTAGCCTGGTGATGGGTATTAAAAAGGGCACGTTCTGCATGGGTCACTGGGTGTTATACGCAAACAATGAATCATGGAACACTACATCAAAAACTAATGATGTAATGTATGGTGATTAACACAACATAATAAAATAAAACTAAAAAAATATATATCAGTAAACAAGTGGTAGTCTTTTGTACTCCTTCCATTGAAAATTCAAGAATGGCTGATACAGCTATTCAAAATCATGACAGATGTCTGTTTTCCATTCAGTTGACATCTCCTTACCTCTAGCAAGTTCTCTAGCTCATTAAACAAACAAACATCAGTTAAGGCAGTGCCTTGAGAATTGCTTAAGATTTCATCAAACGTTCCCATTTGGTTTCTGGATTCATTCCATTGCTTTAGGATTCTTATTTTTTTTTTTTTACTACAAGTTCTCTGCCAACTAAAAATGAGAATCTGTTTGTTCTGAGCTTTCCTTTAATCATTCCTTCCAATAATTACTGGCTAAATTCAGCCCCCCAAGTAAAATGTAATGCTCAAAACTCCACAGTGACTCCAAAGAAAGATGCTTGTTCATCCATAGGAAACCTATCTATCTCAAAAACAAATAAACACTTAATTTTATGTGGCCACAACTTGCAGTACTAACAATTTACTGTTATTTTCTTTGTTGTGGAGACATGTATTATTTAAGCTTTCAAATTATTTAATCCTAAAACTTCAATATTTATTTTAATTAGTTCCTTCTATAAGATGCAGTTAGTATTCAAGCTAAGAGGGGATATGTGAGACACTAAAATAAAGGAGAAATAGGACTTATGTTTGCTTTTGCCTTTTATTTTAAATGGTTTCCTGCAACTTACTGGCTTTAGATGGATGCCCACCCAAATGATTAACATTTTCTACTGGTTCATCTTCCTAGGATAATGTAATATATATGGAGGTCAGATGTTGAGAAATTGACTCATCTAATTTAAATATAACTATTTAAATTGACCATTGAACAACATAGGCTATTGTTCTTGTTTTCCTCTCTTGCTTCACCTCCTACCATAGCTCTTCTCTACTGTGCTTTAAATACCTGAATTCTATATCATCTCTACTGATTTGGCCCAAAATTCAACTCCATTTTCTCAGGCCTTAAGATTTAGATAAGTTCCACTCAAATCTTTATTCCATACCTTCTGGAAGTCCAAAGCCTTCCTCAAAACTTTCCACATTCCCAGGATAGGAGTGGGGTTGGTCATTAATGACTTTCTGACTTTGGTTTCCTTTGTTTCCACTTCTGCTGCTTCTGTTCAGTAACACTTTGACCCAGATGTGAAACACAGTCATTCTCCAGTTTCCTCCAAAGACCTCATCCACACAGAGCATTTGTGAGCTTGTAAACTTTCCTGATTAGTTAGGGGTCAAAAGGAAGAATCACATCACACCATATAACACATAACTTAAAGCCCCTTCTTAGCCATAACTTCTGTATTCTCAAAAGTTCTTGAACCCAGCTGTCACCGGGGTTCCTCACTGGCATTTCTTTTTTCTCTTTTTTTTTTAAAGACTTTATTTATTTATTTGACAGAGAGACAGCGAGAAAGGGAACACAAGCAGGGGGAGTGGGAGAGGGAGAAGCAGGCTTCCCGCCAAGCAGGGAGCCTGATGCGGGGCTCGATCCCAGGACCCTGGGATCATGACCTGAGCTGAAGGCAGACACTTAATGACTGAGCCACCCAGGCACCCCTCCTCACTGGCTTTTCACCCAGTGCAGTCCCCAGCTTCCTAATACCTTGCCGGCTTCTCCCTTCTTCATGTCCCTTTACTCTACTTTCCTCTCATGTTCCTCTCACAAGAGTAAAAAACCAAATCCTTCCCTCTGCAGGGCAGCTTAATCAGTCTCAGGTGGCTCCATGTCTTACCAACACCCATACTTGCAGAATCCCAACCTCTACAGCAAGTGGCCTAACAAAATATTTTATCAAACAAAACAGATCCTTTCCAAAGAAGGGTTCTGGAGCCAACACTGTCAGGAATTTTCAATTCCATCACTTTTCTGACCTCTAGGCCTTTTGACGTGTTATTCCCCCACCTACATGTCCTACTCATTCTTTAGAGCTCATCTTAGATAGTGATTCCCCCAAGAGTCCTTCCTCCAGAAAGGAATCTTGGTCCTGCAAGGTGCCTGGCAGTATACTATCTATCCTGGACCACTTAAAACCAAGGTCAGATGGTGGGCAGATGCAAATTTGAGCAAAAGACAACAAGAGAGGTGGTTTACTTCTAACTTCTCTTTAATATGAGAGAGTAACCTTTTGCAACTGATTGTGGAGATGGTCTCCTTTAGATTTCTCACTTGGCTGATTTCTGTACCCCTCACCCAGAAACCTCCTTAAAACAGAAATAAAATTTGCAAAATTGGCACTGCCCTAAGGGCAAAAGTGTCTCCTTTGCTTGTTTACCTCTCTGGAGTCCTATTTTCTTCTTATGGAGCTCTGGTAACTTTCCTGTCTTGTTAACAACTAGTTGCTTTTAAAAAGATGTTTTTCTTTTTTCTTTTCAGGGTTTTTGTTTTTTGTTTTTAAGTCTGTCTTCTCCAGGTAAATCAAAAAGGTCAGACAGAAATAGAATTCAACTTCTCCAAGAAAAGTTAATCCAAAGTAATTGATTCCCTTTTTAAGAGTTACATTTCCTTGCTCTCAAGGAAAACTACCTAGTCGATAAATATTTGTTAGGCATCATATATTTGCAAGACACTATTCTATATCCTGGGGATTCTACATGGATTCCACAACATGGATTCCACACTGTGTAAAACTACTAGAGTAGTTGTGCCCATCCGTGAGTGTGGCAGAGTCCTTATCTACGGTGACTTGTCCTTTTTCCTCTGCTATGGAAACTGTGACGAATCAATGTTCTTTGTTCTCTACAATATTGTACTGTTCATCTCTTGGTGACAGATTACCAGTTTTATTATAAAAGGATGTAACTCAGAAATAGCTAGATGGAAGAGATGCATAGGGCAAGGTATGTGGAAAGGTGCACGGTGCTTCCATGCTGAGTGCACTACTCTCCCCCACATCTCCAGGTATTCACCAACCAGAAGCTCCCTTTTCAGCACTTTTGGTTGTTTTCAGTGGGAAGGATACTCCAAATAATCTAGACTGCCATTACTAGAAACTGGAAGTCATTAAATCCTTGCTAATTAGGAAGCAGATTTTTTTGCCACATGTTCTTAAGTGTTTTACGAGGCCTGCTTTTAAGGAAAAAGCTTTCTTTCATTCCTATGTCACAGGCTACAGTCCAGGAAACAAACCATCTCTTTGGCTTCACTCATTCACTCATATAGGCACTCATTCAACAGACTCCACTGAGTACTTCCTACAAAGCATGTTTACAACAGTGAACTAGATCAACTCCCTGCCCTCCACTCTCTTGTTAAGAGCAGAAAAAGTCATTTGAATTACCGGTTTTCAAGATCAGGTTAAGGCCTACTAGCCAATTTATGAAATTTCCACATGTCCAGTCCACTAAGTGGTACAGTTAGTTGTAAGGGATGAGACCTGATTCCTATGAAAGGTAACTGTTGAATGGGGCAATGCTTTTAAAACTTTAGCACAATTTAACAATCATCTAGAGGGCTTATTATAACAGATTACTGGGGCCCACCCCCAGAAATTCTGATTCCTAGCCCTGAGGGAGAGCCTGAGAATTTATATTTCTAGTAAGTTTTAAGAGATGCTGACATTGTGGTGCCTGGGTGGCTCAGTCAGTTAAGCAGCCAACTCTTCGTTTTGGCTCAGGTCATGATCTCGGGATTCTGGGATTGATCCATGTGTCAGGCTCCATGCTCAGCAGGGAGTCTGCTTGAGGATTCTCTCTCTCTCTCCCTCCCCCTCTGCCCCTCACTCCACTTGTGTGCTCTCTTTCTCTCAAATAAATAAATAAATCTTTAAAAAAAAGAGAGATGCTGATGCTGCTGGTCCACGGTCCACACTTTGAGAACCACTATTAAGGAGCTCTAGATAAAGCTTAGGAGCAAGGGCTTCTGTTCCTTTACATGACTCTCCATTTTTAAAAATCAAAAGACAATCTCCATGTCCATCGACAGATAAACAGATAAAGAAGATGTGGTATTTATATATATATATATATATATATATATATATATATATAATGGAATATTACTCAGCCATCAATAAGAATGAAATCTTGCCATTTGCAATGACGTCGGTGGAACTAGAGGGTATTATGCTAAGCAAAATAAGTCAGTCAGAGAAAGACAAATATCATATGATTCCACTCAAATGTGGAGTTAAGGAAACAAAACAGAGGGTGCTTGAGTGGCTCAGTTGGTTAAGCAACTGCCTTTGGCTCAGGTCATTATCCTGGAGTTGCAGGGCTCCCTGCTCAGCAGGGAGTCTGCTTCTCCCTCTGACCATCCCCCCCTCATGCTCTCTCTCTCTCTCAAATAAATAAAATATTTTAAAAAAAGAAACAAAACAAATGAACATAGGGGAAGGGGAAGGAAAAATAAAATGAAAGCAGAGAGGGAGACTCTATTAACACTATATGTTAATTAAATTGAATTTATATTTAAAAAAAAAAAACAACAATCTCTAGCCAAGACCATTCAATGGGGAAAGACTATTCTTTTCAACAAATGGTGCTGGGACAACTGGATATCCACATGCAAAAGAATGAAGCTGTATCCTTATCTCATACCCTGTATAGAAATTAACAACAAATCAACATGGATCAAAGACCTAAATGTGTAAGAGCTAAAACTATAAAAACTATTAAAAGAAAACATACAGGTAAATCTTCATGATCTTGGATTCAGCACTATATTCTTGACCCTAAAAGCACAAGAAACAAGAGAAAATAGATAAACTGGACTTCATCAAAATTAAAAACTTTGTGCTTCAAAGGACACTATTAAGAAAAGGAAAAGACAACGCAGAGACAAAGTAGGAGAAAATACTTGCAAATCATATATCTGAGAAGGGACTGGTATCTAGTAGTTTTACACAGTAATAAAAAGAGAGCCCAATTTAAAAATGGCAAAGGATCTGAATAATAGACATTTCTCCAAAGAACATATACAAATGGCCAATAAGCATGTGAAAAGATGCTCAACATCACTAGTCATTAGGAAAATGCAAATCAAAACCACAAAGAGGTACTACTTCACATGCACTGGGAGGGCTATATGAAAAAAGAGAAACAGAAAGTAGATTAGTGGTTGCTTTGGGCTTGGGTGGGGAAGGGAAAGTGGGAAATGATGGCTGCAGGGTACAAGGTTTCTTTTTTAGAAACATGAAAATGTTCTAAAATTATTGTGATTATTGTGATGATGGTTGTACATATCTGTGAATATACTAAAAACCATTTAACTGTACACTTTAAATGGATGAATTATATGACATGTAAATTGTATCTCAATAAAGACGCTTAAAAGAAATCAGCACATGGACTACAACTGTAAAAAATAATAATAATCTGTAGGCCCTCAAGAATTTAACCTTGTTCTTTCAGCAATCTGATGATGGTTTCATATCTGTGTACTGACTTCCTGGTCTAGAGTTTTAAATTACTTTGATGGCAAAAAGTAGGCTTTTAGTGGTAAGAATACCACTCTAAATAGTTTAACATTGTCCCAAAGGTACTGACTCTGCTGTGGACTCAGTGTAGTTATAATACTACAGTGCAGTGATTCTCAATATTTTTCAAAGATGAGGATCTCTTTGTTTTCCTGTTCCTTTTCAACAGTTCGTGTGGAACTGTTGATTCACTGTGAATCATGATTCACAGTGAATCATGATTCACTGATTGAAACTGTAAAAAACCATAATGACCAGAAGCTTTTATGAATTTGATAATGCTTTACAATGAGGTTTCATTTAAGCATGTAATGCCTACATGTATTTGAAAATTGGTAGTGTGGTATTCGTAAGATGTTTTTATTTATTTGGTCTATCGATCATTCTTAGTGAGCTTGTGATTCTGCTGACCCTTGAAATAAAGCTGGCTCCCCTGGTGTTCTGCTGCCCCATTATCTGGGCATATCATTATCACTTTCGCCTCTTAGGGCTCTCGTGAAGATTCAGTGAAATACCATATATTAGGTGCACGATAGAGTGCTTGGCATTTAAGTGATCCCCATCTTGCTTTCCCTTTCCTGTGTTACCATCAGCCAATTTTGAACATGGGGACATTCTGGGGTCTTCTGGGTAGTTTGGTTCCAATGGGACAGAGTTTAGGGTAGTGAATGGGGGCAGGAAGGCCGCATCTCTGAGACAGCAGGTGAGAAGGCATGAAATATCACCTAGAGCAACAGTATCTCTCATAATCTACCCAGCAGGGAGAATTCCGTGTTTTGAAAATGCAATCCAAAAATAATTGT